GAATTCATAACGATAAGCTCGAGATTTATCATGACATGTTTAAAAGTAATAAAACAAATAACTTATATAATTTTAAGTACCTTGGCTTTTGTGATCTTGGAGCATTTAGCAAAAGCATATTCTTTATCCTGGGTGTATGAAGATCTTGTAGCATTTCCTCAGTATAAAATCATTCTTTCTAATAAACAAATCCCAAATAGTAGTCTTGAAAATTTTGTATTTGACGAAGTACAATCGGTTAGTTGAGATCTTTGCTTTAAAAACTATCTTATAATAATATATATATATTTATTTATTTCTTAATTTCAGGAAAATAGCATAGTTCCCTCCGTATCTAAGGATAATTCGAAGGATGGCGCTGAATCTAAATTAACTTCAATATTAATGCGTTCAGCTTCTGGACAACCTTATCTCTGTCAGATACCATTCGTTGTCAACCAAACCGCTGTAGAAGAAAATAAGCAAGAAGAAAAGAGAGACGATGTTGACCTTATGAAGAAAGGCCTTGCGCTTTTAGAACCTATGAAGTCTAATTGTCTTGTTTTTGTGAGTAATATTAGAGTAATATGTTTTAATTTGTCAATCTTATCTTAATCGTATTTTAAATATTAGCAACATGGTTGGTGGACCTACGAATACTGTCATCTTAGGTGAATATATAATACGTTCTTGGAATTAGTATGAAAACTTACTGATATATTTAGTATATTTATATTTATTTTTTATTTTTATTACAGTCATATGAGCCAGTATCATATACAACCTGGGTTCGAGGAACCGAGATCTACTTATATTTTGGGACAATATTCTTTTCGTTTTGACTCGTTACCACCTTCGAATAAAGATAGTAATGATAAGAAACATTCCTTTGGTACAGATTTGCAGGTTGGCAGTGGTAAAAAATATTTGGTTCAACGTTGGGGTGGCGGGTCAACGTGTGACTTGACAGGTAAACCTAGACAAGTTGAAATACAAGTATGTGATTATTATTATTCAAAGCCCTCATTTCTCTTATTCTTATTACTGAAAACTACTTATCATGTATTCTATGTAAAATATAGTTTCATTGCAATCCGCAATCCGGCGATAGTATTGCTGTAGTAAAGGAAATGTACACTTGTAATTACCTTGTAATTATTCACACTCCAAGACTATGTAATGATTCCGCATTTCTTAGCAAAACTTCCTCCAAGGTTAATCATATAGAATGTTATCAAATAGTATCTGATGTATGTGAGGCTCCAAATTTTGTGTCAAATATTATTATTAAATAGATTATTATTGATCTAGTTCATTTATATAGGAAAAGTATAAACGTAATATGGCGAAAGAACCAAAGAGTTTGGAAAGCAGTCCTCAAGAAATGGAGTCGAGGTACAGTGTCAGTCCACGTTTACCTACATGATCAAGTTTTTTTTTTTAATGAATCGTGCGTGGACTGAATATCATGACTCGAGTTGACGTTAAGGTGGTCAATTTGAACTAGTGATCCTAGTCGATAACTAAAGGGTCGTAAGTCGACCTTATTGACCTTATATCTATCGATCTTATAAACCTCTTTAAATGGATTCCCTTATGTCAAGCAAAAACAAACCTAGGGGTCGATCTCGGGGGCCAACCCCTGACGTGACGACAAACAAACATGAACTGTAATTCCATATGACAAATTAATATAGTTTTTGTTTTTCTTATTTAAGATTTCGTGCACTTCTGATCGACTAATAAAATTTTATAAGAAAATTTAATTTAACGAAAATTCGTAACCATTTC